TGTTGTAATTTGTCATAATTTAATCTAATTTTCCAAAGTGACAAACGAAAAAATATATCTTCCTGAACTTTGATTAATAAAAAGAAACTAAAAAGAAAATGTAAGAATAGTTCATTGTATACTTAACTACAAAAAACTAGTTTTTAACAATAATATGACGACAAAATTGTAATATGTTCTTCTACCTTATTTTAAAAGTTTGGAAAGGTTATTTCTGGAATGCCCTTCTCTTTCATCGCTAACACCAAAGGCACAAAAAATAACTTTACTCGCGAAGAAAAAAAGAAAAACGACATTATCTTTCTAGCTAAATTTTTTTAGGGAAAAGAGCCAAAACGAATTATATTTTCATCACAGGAAAAAAAAAATATAAAAAAATATATTCTGCTAAAACAGAGCTCCGTATTCTTTGAACCGTTTGAAACACCTAAAAATAATTAATATAAAGTAATTACATTATTTTTTTAATTTGTTAATTCTCATTTTACATAATATAGCATTAAATAAAAATGACAGTTTTCTTCTATAATTTGTAGCCTTCTGTAGAAAGAAAAAAAGTTAACAATAGATTGTTTTTAATTAGCAAAAGCTTTCCTTATTAATATCATAGGTATCAGTATATCTCGCCGATAACAATATGACTATAAATACAGTAATAACGATCTATACCGGATATAGTTTTTCCTGTCGGATCTGTATTTTTAATCATGTATTCTAAAATTAATGATAGTTCGGTGGCACTATGAACGATATATAATAGTAGTCATTAGCCATTAGATCTTCGATTATATAGGTGACATTTCTCACAAACTTTTGGAATCTCCATGTGTATGGTATGAATTTGAAATTGATCTATCAACAATTTTATTAAAACCTTCGCATGATTTCTTTGCACTTTATCAGCATACACACATAACGTTGAGTCACTAAAATTATATAATAATCAGTAACATATCTTGTAATATATCAACATTTCGTAATAATGTAAACAAAATTTAAGAAATATAAATGATTTAATATTTGTATAAGTATAAACAAACTATATTTGTCCGTTGCTCAAGAATTATCATCATATATTATCAATGGCAATGGCTACCGACCAATAGCCTACGTCATAAGCGAACGTAAGCAGCTTGATTATCAGGTACAGATAGATTATTATCCTGAGTATATGTATCATGATTAAAGTAATTTACAGTTTGATTTACGTAATCAAGTTCAAGATGACGTTAGTTTTCCCTCCGGCCACATATTTGTGACTATATTTATTGTTAGTTAATTTTTTTTTTTTTTAATTTTCAAGATTTTATATTCAACGAAATTTAACAACAGCAACAGTTTCAACTTCAGATATACCAAATAAAAATTTCGTAAACAGGTGTGGAGATCAAAATGTGATGCCACAGAACATTTATTTCTGTTCAGTGATAAATACTTATTTTGTTGTTACGACTCGGAATAAACCTATTCCAAACACAACTATTATGAAAACCCATTGTGCAAATTCAAAGGTTTCGGAAAATCTGGCGTGTTAGGTTCGTTGCCATGGAGAATAAGTCACATAATTTAACAAACCAATAAAGAAAATAATATAACCCACTAAAGTGAGTTCCAAGACGAATAACAATAATGATCTTTTTTTCACTCTTTATAAATATGTTATAAACTATTAACGTTAGCAGCAATTTGTAAATAGATAAAACAATGAGTTGTTCAAAGTGCGCACCTGTCAAAAACTTTGATGGCGCAAAGTGTGTCATAAAACACCCTGATGGTAGATGTGGTATAACATGCAATTAGAAATCAGAAAAAAAAAATGCTATTCTACTATATTACTGATCAGAAATATTATTCAACAATTAGATTGTAAAAACGTATACTAATTTTATTAAATTGAAAAAAAAAATGTTGGCAAAAAAAACTAAGGTGTGTGTGTGCTTTAGACCACTCGATAGAAGTGAAAACTTCGACAATGCTAGATTAATAATATGAAATATAAATTACAAATAACAGCTCATTATAAAGGGAATAAAATGTTGAAAATTTCTCTAGCTTACAGTATGCAGCTCCAATTTTTAGTTTCTGAGATATTTTAATACATTGATTTTAACAGACTTCGGCCTCTGTGGTGGGTTTTGTGTACTCATATATTTCTTTCATCCTCATATATTCCGTTTCTCTCTCATTGGTGTATAGTCTTTTTTAAAGACCTGCCGTTCCAACTCTTCCCACTAGTGTTACCCAAATGCGAGACCGAGTCTTTGTATCGGTCATGGTCTTGAAGATTTTTTTAGATGGGAGAAAGCTAACTAAGCCCGAATAATTAATTAGATGAATTAAATGCAAAAGTATATTGGTTATACCAATTATTTACAGATAGTAACTAAGATTGTCAAGTATTAATAACTATTTTGCCTTGATTTTTATTTAAAAAATCGATTATTTTTCCAGTCCTGGTCTTGGTCTTGCAACAGTTAGGCGGCCTTATTATTGGTCTTGCAAAGTGCAAGACCAAGACCGATTTTGGGCAACAGTACTTCCCACGCCCTACTAAGTGCAGGAAGCGGCCTTGCTACATGGTGGACATCGTCTGCGTAGTTCAATACCTGTGTTATTGTAGATTGAACCACCAGGATTGTTACTGATTTCTCGCAGTTCCTCCACCATGGAAATATTAAAAACATTGGCAGCCTAAACAGGAAAACTCCAAGTATGCAGTGATCCGGCATTGAGTATCGGTCAGAATCATACAAACCATATGCACTTTCTTTTTGTGGAATCCAAATCTACGTAAATCATGCAGTAAATGTATCCGATAGGTACAGTTTGTAGGCTTGCCAGAAATCTATGAAAAGGTGATGCATTGTGTTATCAATTTCATGTGTCTTTTCCGAAAGTTGTCTTATAGCAAAAATGAAATCGGTTGTCAACTTACCGTGCCTAAAACCTATTTACTAATCACCACCGAATCACTTTTATTGGAAAAGTATAATAGTTAAAAAAAAAGCTTTTTTTTTCAATTTGTTTATCAATTCATCAAATTCGAATTAATTATTAATTATTCAACTGATTGTGTGAATGATCCTAATGTGCAATAAGTAAATTGAAAAAAAAGATACCCCTTTATCTATCAATAAAGATTGCTTTGAATAGAAATATCTAAAAAAAATAACAAATTTCAATCCTTCCTGCTTTTTTTCTTGTGGTATTTGAAAATGAGGTATTCTTTTCTATTTATTCTAATAGGTTCTCACTGAGGAAAGAGAAAGGGCGTGTCTTTGCCAACCACCTGTTGGAGGATCCTACTGGTAGATTATTCATCTTACGAGTATACAATAAGCGCCAGTTACAATATATGGCGGGGTTTATATTGTAATGTTCTGAGTAAGGCTAAGTGTGATATATTAAATTATTGAAATCATTTCTTTAAATCGTACAGTTCCTACAAATGTATGAGTTTCATAATTTCTATAAAAATGTTATTCCTTTTTTTTAGCTTGTTTTCAACTATTATACGGTTTAAAATTATTATTTATTTGATAAGTGATGAGCTCGATTTCATAAAAATTGTTATCGAATAAAAAAGTGACAAAATCCATTAAATATTCAATTCTTGTTTGTTAAATTTTATTCCTTTTGAAGAGATACAAGAGAAACCATTCTTCTCTTTCCAATGGTTCCTTAAGGAAGACAAATTATTTCAGAAAATATAATCACAAATTTTACCTCAAAGATAGTAAAATTTTAATATTTTCATTGTTGTTATTTTGATTAGTTTAGTTATTTTGTTTGTATAAATTTAATTTTAGTATTATTATTTTTCTGTATTATTTATTTTCATTTATTGTAAATAGAACGTGAATGCGTTCTCCTAACACTATTATAAATGTTCTTAATTTTGACAGATTATAATATTTCTCAATAAATAAAAAAGTATTTTGATAAATTCAGAAATTTATTCTGATCTATATTTATTATACTTTTATTTTTAACTTTTAACTTACATTGTACTTTTTTTTACTATTCTTGTTGTAATTTCAACATTTAATTTTAAATTGCACATTTTAGTTTCACTACTTTCTACTTTTAATTTTTTATTTTTAAACGCCATGAATACTCAAACTGGGACCTGGAATCAGTAAAGAAAAAAATGATATGTTTGGCATTTAATAGCCAAGGCGAATATGTATAATTGAACAATTAGATAATAGAACCTGGAGGTCAATTTAAGTACATAAGAAGCTAGGTGAACATGACAGGAACATCAGACATGGAGATTGAAAAAAAAGATAAGCAACAGGAAGATAATCATCAGAACCTTAAATTCGGCTATGTAGAGTAAATCGATGCCCTTAAAAACAAAAAGAAAATTATGCATAAATCGCTCGTAGAAATTGTTATTCTCTATTCAGCCGAATCGTGGACAATTGAAGAAAGGTGATTAAAAAGATTGATAGCAGTAGAAATGGAGTATTAGAGGCGTTCATTTTAAATTTTCGTCTTATAATTTTAAACTGTCATTTTTACATTGAATTAGTTACCTTTTATTCTTTTAATATTTAAATTGTGTTTGATTTTTTTAAACTTTTTCATTTATCTTTAATTTTAATTGTAATTGACTTTAACTTTTCTAACTTTAATGAAAATTTGTAAATCTAACAGTAGCTATTTTTTAAATGCCTAAATTTATGATTGTACTGAATTAATAAAGTAATATAAAATTTTATTTGTTTTTGTATGTATTTCTTATTTTCGCATTAATAGCAGTTAATTTGATAATGGTAATTTACGGTAAAAATTTCTCTGGTGGTCGAAAAGGTCGGCACATTTTATAAATTAATAAAAATAATCGATGTAGTACTTAACAAAAATAAACTATAAGTAATAAATAAATTAAATAGTGCATCCACATAATAATAACAAATTTTCGTATTATAGACTCTAGGTGAAATAAGGTAACCAAATCTCAGTATTCAAACAAAGATTGTAATCCGACTCACTTCTCGCGGATTTGGAGATGTAGATGAGGAGCTCCTTGAAGTGCTCGACGGTGGCGCTGTCGTTGAAGCTCTTGTGGGTGGATGAAGCCCCGAGGGAGTTGAAGACGGGGCCCAGCATTAGGTAGCACTTGGAGTGGCCCTTGCTGGAAGTGGCCCCGTAGTCGAAGTAGAGGAGGCCGGCGATCTTCCAGTTGAAGTAGTTGAGGATGTGCCTCATGGCGATGGACACGGCCCTGTAGGAGCCCATCACCCTCGTCAGCGTGGGGTACTCCTGCTTGTGGACGAAGTGGTCTGCCTGGGCTCCAGCCGTTATCACTGGCTTCTCCCACACTCCAGCGTACCTGCTCACTGGCGCTATCACATAGTCGCATACTGGACCGAGGAAGGCATCTGAAACAATAATAAGACGGTTAGGATGAAGCATGGAACTAGGAATCCCATAATATTTTTATTTTTTTATTTTTTTTTATTAACAAAATTGATAACTGTAATTAATAATAAATACAACAAGTAAATATGAACAAGTAATATGACATGTACAACATGAGGAGAAACTACCCATTGGTAGCACTCCAATTATATTTCTATATTAGAAGGTCCCGAGGCTTTGTAATCCAGGTGAATGTCCATCTTCTTTTCAGACGCCTCGGAGGGTTTTCATGAATAGAAGAGGAAGCAAGGTTGGAAACGAGTGGGTTCGGATGGTTCAGAAGTTTATAATGAAAGGACAGGTATCTGGATTGAGCTAAATCGGAAACATATGGTGCATTAAGGTCATTATGGATGACTTTATTTGTGACAAAGTAGGGAGCATTAAGGATTTTACGAAGAATTTTGGATTGTAGGGATTGGATACGAGAGGAATTTTATGGTTTAGTAGAGCCCCTCCCCCATAATATTAAAATAATTTTCACAAAACGTTCCTCTTTATTTATTTTCAAGTGTTTTCTTGGATCATCAACTCATTATAATATATCCGATACATAAAGTCCACACCCGAACAAGCCCAAATTCAATTGCATTATAAATATTTAATATATGACCTTCACTAAATTTCCGAAATACAAAAAATTGTATTCATAGCTGAGATAAGTTACTGCAATATAGCAAAGGACAAGGCAATTGCATGCTGACTCCTGGGCTTATGTTCGATTATAGCTAAGGAAAAAAAAAATCAGTTTCAAACAAGAATTTCGTTTCAAAAACACACATATAGTGTCTACATAGGGAATTAGAGCCATCATGGAGTTCAAAAGGAAAATCTGGCGGCAGAACGTTGATTGACGAACTATTGAAAATTTTACATTTTAGCTATATCTCTATTTGAGAAAAGTTGGAACTAGTACTTAAACTGATTCAAAGCAAGTAATAAAGTGTGTTTCTCCCCTCTTCTACATCGCCTTTTCGGCAACATAGGTAATTTCCCGGGCCGGAAGAGAGAACGGAGGATTAATGAGAGAATTAAATGCTCCGGCACCAGGACTCAATTCTTAACGTTCAGGTTATCGAATAACCTGCGTTGCAAACGCATTAGTCTGTTTGGTCATCCATAAAGTACTACTGCCTACCTACAATTTCTCACATATCTAATAATTTAAAATCAGCCTAGATTCAATTAATAGAAAATCAGTCTTTTAGGTGGCCATCTAATGTTATAGAATTTCGCGTTGAAGCTATTTATGAGCAATATTTTCTTATTATTTTACTGACATCCACATTATGCAGATTTTCGAAAAAATTTACTGACATTATATAGTTAATTTTTATAATTTTTTTTCTATTGGTATTACAGATCATGTAGATCTTTTGCCGCTTAAACAAGCATAATCCATCTCTTTCTTGGGCTACTTCTTTTCATTTATCTGCATGCAGTTCTATTGCATCTTTGTTTATTCTATCCATCTTGTTTTTTGCCTTCCACGTGGTCTTTTTTTTTCTATTGGGGCATTCATTGTTACGTAGAGGCTTCCAGTAGGATTGCTACGAGCTGCATGCCCCACCCATCTTAACCTTCGTGGATTCATATCATGGGATATTGATTGACCAGTTTCTATGAGCATCTCTTTATTGGTCTTTCTTCTCTGTACGTTAGTATTTTGATCTCAGGTCGCTCCGGTTACCATATGGAGCAAATTCAGATAATTATATGTTTTAATGCAATGCCACAACTTACGGCAGTATTAAAATATATTTGATATAAAAAAAAAATAAAAAAATCGATTATTAACTACTAATCAAGGTATTTAATACTTTAGTTAAAACCATGCTTTTAAAATTCATATTGATACTGTCAATGGCACTAGTGTAAGTAGAGGTATGGGGAAATTAGTCCTGCAACTAGGCATCACTATGCTAACCTTTTTTTTTTCAACCTCTGATAACTTAGAGGTTGTCGCCACTTACTAACCACAGCGGGAGAGTCAAGATTCCTTTTTCGAGTCCGCTGAGAAATAAATACTAACTTACACAGGTGGAAATCGAACCCGCAATGTTTCCAATCATTTACTCATAGATCCTTGCACTAACATGCTCGTCCAACGTGTTCCCTTTCTCAACTTGTTGCGTCAGGAATGCAATGTTTTATGTATTTCAAATAAATTAACACTCAGCCGCACATCAATTAGGGATGCAAGGCGTTCCACAAAGTTGCCACAGAAGAGGTCTAAAGAACAGTCTAGAGTAGGAGCATTCTTTTAAACCTCTGATAAATATCTAACATAGCCTTGACCTTTTAAAAATTATTTTGAATTTAATAAGTGTTTTGAGAGTAGTACATCATTTATTTATTCACAACTTATTCAAATCTTAAAGGACTAAAGTAAATTTTCTTTTATACTAAGTTTCCATAAACTACGAACTCATTTTAAAAATAAATTAGTTGATTAATGAAATTCATCTATGTATTTTATAAATTTTTCTTGGCCTAAATCACTCCTATATGGGTTTCCAGGCCAGCGCATCTAGCTCAATTGCATACACATTCATCGGTCAGGATGTACGAACCGTCGAAAACACCACTAATCTTACGGTAATTGTGTGGATCCTATCTACAGGATATTTTCACATTGTCGGATCAATGTCGGTCCGACATCCGAATTAATGCTTAACATTGTGCTAATGATTTTATATATTTATTTAAACTATTGTTTCTTATAGTGTAAAGAAAATTCCTTACAGAAAATATATTAAATAAATTAATGTCTGCATGTACTAAGTATGAAGAGCAAGTGCAACCACGAAATCCAGTGATATATTTTAAATCTACAGTAACTTTTGATACTGAAACACGAAGAATCAAGAACTATTCCATGAAAGAAAAGATAAATAAATATCTCATCAATAAAAAATCAAGAGTTTATTCACAGTTTTTTTTTATTATTATAAATAATATTTTTCGAACCTTCGGGTTCGCTAAGCCTTATTATTATTATTATTATTATAAATAATATTTTTATTGGAAGAACTATAATACAATTGGCACTATCAAGGGCATTGGGCATTAAGGAACTATGTGCGCAATCATACTATTATATACAAATTGAGAAAAAAGAAATAAGAAGAAAACATCTAAGTAAAGAATATATACAATAAAATAATAACGAAAATATAAAATACTTGTAAAAAGAAAAAAAAATGTCACACTCATATACAATAAATCATGGAATAACAATTTAGTTCCATTCCTTTCTTTAAATTTATTTACAATTTTTAAAAGTTAACTTTATGGCCAACTGTACAGTTATCAGTCATCAATGAAGCTATTTGGGTGGACATGTGTATTATATGGGACCATGTGATAGAAACCTATACCTTCTGCGCCAATTAAATGGGCATCATATCTGACTCTCATATTTATCAATCTATGTGTAAACCTGTTTTTTTTATTGATGCAGGTCTGTGCTAGTTAAAGTATTATATAAGTTTTAACTATTTTGAATTTTAAATTGATTTGAGGTGAGACTTTAGGAGAGGACAGACAGCCCAATTCGAGACACTGTCAATTCCATTTTACAGGTTATGCTAAGTGATTTGGTATAATTGATACATTTCTGTAAAGTATGAGTTTATAATTTCACGTTTTCACTGGTTTACAAGTATGTTAAACATGAAATAAAAAGTTATACAAAAATATTTTTTCAGTAATTTGGTAAAAAAAAAAACACCTTATATGTATTTCATATACTACTCGACACTTCAATTTCTTACTTAAGGAAGAGTTTAATGGTTCTTAGCTGTAATTATATGAAATTATTTTCTCTCCCGTTTCATATTATTTATTTTTTATGTCCAACGTTTCAGACTTTTTTTATACGGAAGAGGAAATAATTTCATATACCTAAAAACCATCAAAAGCTTTCCTAAGTGAGAAATTGAAGTGTCGGGTACATAAGTAAGGAATGAAGGAGGAGATGAGGAACAATTTAAATGGAGTAAAAGAGACAATCTGAAGATGGCAAAAGAGCCCGAAAGGTTGGACATAAAAAATAAAAAATATTATACAGAAATAATTTCATACATTATACCTAAAAACCAGTAACAAATTGCAGTATCGAGTAGTATATGAAGAAAATATAAAGTTTTGAAATAAGTTTGTTTTGTTTTTCATTTTCGTAACATTATAAGGTGATGTTTTTTTTTCCAAATGACTGAAAAATTCTTTTTGAATCCTGTTTTATTTCATATTTAACATAGTTGTAAACTTGTAAAAACGTTGAATTATAAATACATACATGACAGAAACGTATCAAGTGTCGAGTAGTACATGAAGAAAATATTTGAATATGGACTTGGAATGCCATAATATACGAAGAATCAAACAGAAATTTAAGAATAATTTAAGTGGAGTTTTTGAACAACATCAAAGATTTTAAAATTGTTTCTAAAGTTGCCAAAACATTGGATATGAAAAATAAATACCAGTATACGGAAGAGAAAATAATTTCATATAATTATACCTATAAACATTTATAATATCAATTAGTTCTATTCCAACCCTACATGGAAGTTTCTATAATTCCAACTTTTCATAAAATTTTTAGTCTCCTTTACTTGAAATTGTATAATCTTTAGTTGTAAATAAAATGTTGTTTTTAAAATGAGGAAAAGAAGCTCCATGAACCGGAAGAGCCCTACTGAAGATGAAATAGTTCGAATGAGCAAATAAAAATTCATAGCTATGATATTTTTTGTGGATATATCCATATCCAAGAGATTATACACCTTCACTGGATTCTTCAATTAATCAACCATTAATCAACTATCAATGGATTCAAACTAATAATCAACAATACTACATTGACGTTCTTGCTGAAAAATATATATATTATATAAATAAAACTCACGTTTATGAAATAAAGTGGCCTTCAGTACGTTCAAGGATGGTACTAATG